AGGAAACAGTGAACCTCTACAACAGTTCAAAATCACAATTTCATCAATAACTTAGCGGTGAATAACAAATTGCTTATCCTACCCTAGTAATCTTACTTCTAAAATGTTCCGCATAGCACTCCATAAACCTCTGAAAATGTAAAGAACAGGGATTTAAAAAAGTGTCCTTTAAAGTGTGCAGAGAGGGCAACGATGCACAATGTTACCTGTACAAAATACCAAAAATATTTTCTGAAGTGTGATTGAAGCACCTACTTATGACAAGAACATCTGAATGGCCTGATTTGGCCACCCAGTCTACAAGATGCTCTGGGAATAGGAGTTCAAACAGCACCTTCCAGGTTTTATGCTCAAGACTGCAGATAATCTGTTAATTTTATAGCAAACATAGAAAAACATTTTTGCACTCATATTGAGGCTATGACCAATGACTCTTTATCCCCTCCTATTTAGGCTTTCAGCACACCCTCATGGATCTTTTGCCCATATGCTCAATATTACAGAACACTGTAAAAGAATTCAAGAGGAAAATCTTAATCCTTTCAAAAGAGCAAGGATTTCTTAAATATATCTCCATGTCACCGAACACACACACATACACGCATACATGATCTCTCTCAGTGTTAATAATGTATAAACCAGTTCCTGTATTTTTCTGGATTTCCCATGCAGTGAGATAATCTTTTTCCTTAATTAAGCTACTCCATTTACAACCAACATATGTGGCCTTCTAGCACTTGAGCATTCCCTACAGATAGGTCCCTAGGCTGTTGAATAGTGGTACATCTGTGCTTACAAACAATAAGAAAAGATAATGCTAAACCCCATCCATGGAGTCAATCATGAAAATTATTGTAAGATGTCATTCTGATGCTTACACCACTGATTTTCCAGGCTTAAATTAACACCTTCCCATTTCTCTAGGAAGTCCATTTCACTTTCAGTTTAAAATATAAAATGTTTATATATCCTAATTATTCACAGTTCAAAGAAAATCCTCAGCTAACATAATTTTGTGGTAATTTATTGGCATTTTCCAACAAGTAAAACCATTCCAGCTTGGAATAACTTTATTATGAAACTACACATTTCTGTAAGGGCCTAGAGTTGCCAGAAAGAGGGACCTCCGGTGTTATAGCTCTAGCTGCCAGCATGTGCTTTTCTACCCATATTCTGGCCATAGTTAGTCTTCAGTTGCCTTGGCAATCCCATGGCATTTAAAATACCTGCCAGTTCAGCCCTTTTCCACCAGGGTTGTTCAGTGCAGTACTGATAGAATGAAACACCCTGTAGAGGATATGAGTTGAATTCTTCCTCATCCTAGAAATCATTAAAGCTTTACAGTTTTATTATTTAGAGTGAGAAAGTTGGTTTAGACAGTTACCATTAGTGGCTTTTTAAAAACACAAAGTAATGCCTCCACTCCAATGACTGCAGTTTTGTTTTTTTTTTTCTTTGCAATTTTCTATGTGCAAACAGCTCTGATCCTGCTCTTTCCCGTGATGGCCTTTCAACATTATAGGTGCTGATGTTGCTCTGAACTGCAAGAAAACAAGGAGGATAAGGCCACCATGTTATGGCACTCTGAGCCTCCCTCCTCCCATTTCCTGCAGGGAAGCCTCTTTGAAATGACAAACAGAAGAGAACTTTGTTTAAAGCGGACAGGCTTTAAGATTCCCCATGACTCATTGGTTTATAACTTTTAAGACATATTTAGTGATTCTGCATTTCAGTCTTCTACAGATTGGCCCTGCTATTGCAGTAGTATTCCCTTTGCTAGCTGTGTAGATGCAAGAGCTAAAAACTTGCAGAATACGACACAAAGCGATTTTGAATTTTTTTGCACAACTTATAAACCTTAGCCTTCTGAGCTAATATGGTATTGATCCAAACAGAACTGGATGAAATATTTTTATTCTTCTTACATAAATAGCTAACACAAAGTTCTCCTTTTTTCCTTCAACTCTCGAAAACTTTCAAATGACAATAAATTATCAGATGTTTCATGTGAGTCACCACATGAAATAAATGCTGTGTGGGGAACACCACCGGAGCAATCATTCAGGGGATGATACTGCTATCTGCTTAGGTAGACTATGCCACTGCTTTTTTTTAACCATCTTCCTGACCCTTCCTTACGAACTGAGATGGGCTTTCATAATAGACCATATGCAGTTCCAAATGGGAATTTTAGGGTGGCAGGTGCTGAAAAGTCTTTAGGCTCAGTAAAGCTCTTTGCAGCATCTACACACAGCCCATCATGTCACTTTGTCAGCATTCCCTAGGAAGGCCGACTCCAAATACGAGTCACTTGGAAATGGCCTCAGTCAAGGCACTTCTATATTACCCACAGAACAGATGCATTTCGGTGAGCCAGCTACTTCATTTGACTGCACATGCTGTAGCTATTTCTGGGACCTTGGCTCCTCTTTCCACTGGCATAGTATGATAAAGTGGAAAACTGAGTCACTTTCAGGTTAAAAGATGGAGAGGCAAGTAAGAAACCTGTTTTGCAAGTTTTTCCCAAGATGCAGAGTCTAATTCTAGAATTTGAATAAAACCTTGATTATTCGTAATACATATGTTTGAAGGTTTACAGGATCTGAGTGTGGAATGTATAGAATATGGCTGGTGGTCTAAGACTAAACTGAAACCTTACCCTTACTAATTCTTCTTTTCTACTGCTTGCCCTTCTGGACAAAGAGTATCAGTATCAGGAAATTTTGAGACTTACTGAAATACACATGTGCCCATCCAGTTGAAATCTTAGCTTTTTGAATTCAGTTAAAAAGACCCCAACAAAACACAAGCAAGGAAAAATGGTGTATCAGACTTTTAAAATAATAAAAGAAATGTTATGTTAAGTAGCCATTTTCCTGAATTTTAAAGCTGGTCTTTAAAAGTATGCTGGTGTGCTGTGGACAGTATTTTCACAGCAGTATGATTGTTATTGACAAAACACTTGGGCACAATTTAGGATCCTAAAGAGAAAATAATTGAAAAATGAATCCCATCCCCACAGTCCAGTAGTCACCTACACTGAGCTTGTGTATTCTTTTCTATCTTAACAGCTTCTCACAAGAGTGTAGAAAGAACCGCAACAGAGGAGAAACACACCTAGATTAATAGCAACCTTCATTTGCACTGATGTTAATGACTGAAGTAAAGCATTCTGTTTTGCTCTGTAATTCAGTGGAAGCTCTTGTGGTATTGACTGAAGCAGCAATGCTTAGCCTGTGGTTCTCAAACCATATGTAAACTTCTTTAAATTACTTTTGAGCCCCTAGTAGACAGTCTATAGAGCTTCAAAGAGAGCTGCATGATGAATACGGGCAATTCATCACTTAAGCTGGTCCTGGTTTTGAGTGGGCTATTTTTCTTCAAAGTCATCAATGGACTGTTCTCAGTCGAGGCTGGCTGAGGTATATTTGTGCCTTGGGCAAAGGCATTTTTGGTGTCTAGTTTATTCATGCAAAATAACATATTTCTATTCTGTGATCTACTCACTCTCCTGCTCCAACTCCACGTGTTATCTCCTTCAAACCACGGTCCCTTTTCTGCACAATATTTGCAACATGTACCTGTAGTTCTCAAACATTCTGCAATAGGATTTCACTTATTGCTTTGTTTTAAAGAGACCAAAGGATGCCCTTGGCATGCAGTTATGCAGAAAGAAAATATTCCTGAATGCCTACCATTCCCCTACTGAACCAGCAAAACACTTACACCAGTGTTTAACTTCAGATCTGTAAGTGTCCTTGGTGAATTCCTTCTGAAGTCAATCTAACTGCTCACATGCTTCAGAGATAAGAATATGTTTTGCAGAATCAGGACGCAAGTACTCAGCACTTGCCGGATTCAATCCACTAAAAGGACAACCAGGTAGGCCGAGGACTCTATGATTGTGACAGAGCATTTCAGGATTAATGTCTTTGTGAATGACTGTTATAGTTGCTGGCAAATTGTCTAACAGTAAATTGTTTTCCATCAGAAAAATGGCAATTACGTAGAAGCAAAATGTAAAGGACGCATACTGATTTTGACATATCCTTTTAAACATCATTGTGAAAATTTGTTTAAGAGAACATTTCTCACTCTATGATTGTGACAGAGCATTTCAGGATTAATGTCTTTGTGAATGACTGTTATAGTTGCTGGCAAATTGTCTAACAGTAAATTGTTTTCCATCAGAAAAATGGCAATTACGTAGAAGCAAAATGTAAAGGACGCATACTGATTTTGACATATCCTTTTAAACATCATTGTGAAAATTTGTTTAAGAGAACATTTCTCTTTTTTTTTTTCTTTTTTGGGGGAAGAAAGAAAAAAAAATCACAACTGTCGCAAAATGCTGATCTCCAGTGACTGTAGCTGATCAAACTCTACAGTGAAAACATTTTCCACTTATGGTGGGTTTCATCTGCTCTAACTTAGGTATCTGAAGTTCACATCTGAGTTAGTCATCCATAGCTCCCAGTACAGTCAATGAGATAAGTACCTCCGGAGCTCCATTAACTGCCCTAAAGTAGATGCTGGAGACAAATCAGAGCGGGGTGCTGTTCTCTGCTGAGAATGGGAAGACTGACAGTGCCTCCTGGCTCAAACATTGATGCCTGGTTCCCAGAGTTGGGTGACATCAGCATGTTCAGGGGGCTGTCCATCTAATTCTGCCCTGGTTAGAGCCACAGATATTTTCCATCAAACTATTCTGTGTGTCCTATTAAAAACTGCCATCATCCTGGCAAACCACAGCTGTGTTGCTGTGGAGCAGGGCATTTGAACTGAAGGATATACTTTTTTCGAAACATTTAAAAAAATCCTTCTACTTCATGTTTATATCAGTGTAGTGCAACGGGGGCTTTAACTTCTAACACAACTGGGCATGTGAGCAGCAATGCAGTACAACAAAGCAAAATAGTTTCCTTTTTTATGGCTATGTCTGTATCAACAAATAGAACAGGCCAGGGACAACCCTCTGGACCTGCAGTCAGTGGCCAGGGACTGTTCCTGGGACCAGACACAGCTCGCTCCCATGGGCCTATTCCCTCTGAAGCAGGATGGCCGTGTCCAACATGCCTGTTGGGAATGACTCCCTGCTTTCTCTGTCCTCCAAACTGTGCTTAGCAATTGCTTGGAAAAGTGCAAACTGAGGTGGGCTAAAATTGTGCAAGAGAGTATGCCATCAATTAAGAAGTACACACAACCATGTCTTGGCCCTGTTTTGGTTCATAGTGTAGATGTAACTTCCAGCATATTTTTTCATGGACTAAAGGGAAATGGACAAATGGCTGAATGACTCACCCTGGATGAGCCTCCCTTCATCAAAGGCAACCATACTGTCTAATATTTTTCAGAAACTTACTACTTCCATGTGGATGCAAATTCAATTTATTTTGCCTTCCTTTTTTTTTTTTTTTTTTTTTTTTTGTGCAAGGTTATCTGGCTACTCTCTTTTTGATATCTAGAAACATCTAATTTCTATCTTCAGTTTATGGCCACGTCATACCAGTGGCTTCCTGTGTCAGCTTTGCTCTTCGGTTGTAATAGTTCTTCTTTCCAAGGAATTAATCCTGTGATGTATTTATTGAGAAGCAATCATGTCCTCTTTGCCTTTATTGTGTTAAGTTAAACAAGAAAGACTGACTGCTGGCTAAGGATCATCTGACAGTGAAATGATGCAGAAAATATTTCCCGACAACTACCGCAACGTCCAATAGTTTGTATCTAAGGAAATGTTTGTTTCTAGTCTACAAATTCAGTTGCATATTTACAAACATGTAAACACCCTTATTGGATGTCAGGATCATTTTGGGTTTAGACAGTTTGTGAGGGAACTGGAAGGCTGATCATGCCTGTTGTTAATTGCTCTTCAGTATAGCTCAGTCACTTTCTTGAACCAGGAAATTATCACTTTGAAACCCTCTGACACTAACAATAATGCATTTCTTTTTGGTAATATTACACATAAATTAATTGATTGGATCATCTTTTCACATGTCAGTTTAAATGCAAGTTCTGTAGGAATGCAGCTTGGAAAGATTTGGCCTATATACACATAAACCTATTATTAAATGTTCCAGACATCATTATTGTAGTGTTACAATACTGTTTTCCTAACTGAGGCATGAAATACTAAATAGTCTTTCAGCTACTGTTATGGGTCTTTCTTCACTATTTATTGGAGTAGATTGAAAAGAGCCATGATAAACCCATCAAGCATAAAACAAAAAGGAAAAACAAATATACGTTAAAAAGCACACACCTGTTTACTACAGCATCAATAAAAGCTTTAATTAAAATTATATTGGGGATTTATCTAGGAAAACAGGCAAGTTTAAATGTGTTATTAAAATATGTTCCTTAAGTTATATGTTTTCATTTAAATGAAATATTAATGTAGGATTAGCAGTTTGTAGAAACTGCCACTGCTGTTCATAAAAGCAAAGAAAATATCTATTAATATGGGTTATCACACCAGTGGAAAACTGAAATAGCTGTAATTAGTACCCAACACAAACAACATAAATCCTCAGTCACTGAATTTTGCTACATGTTACAAAATTAAGAAGAAAAAGGACAGCATCAAGGTGCTTCTCTTCATCAGCTAATGCCATACACAGAAACAGTGAAAAGGGCATCACAATCAGTTTTACATAGCTCTTTGCACAATTCATATAGGCATTTGGGCACCCCAAAGTTTAGGCATTCAGCTTGAACAGTCCTTTTTAGACTGGAGCTGCAGCCTATGAAGTTGGGGTCCTTGGAGAACTGGTACATGGCTGCCCTACCTAGAGGGGACTTGGATCTTGTGGACCCGTTGCCGCATATGAAAAAAACAGAGAAATCATGCAGCTATTTTGTTCATCAGTCTCGGTGTAAAACAGGGATATGGCACTGGGTGGAGTGTGAAATGAGGGCTCACTGGCTCTATAGACTTAGCTAATATCTAGCTATGCACTTAGTGAATTTGCAGAAGGTCAAGTGTGGAAAATTACTGAGATGGCAGAGAAGTAAGTTCCAGAAGGGTACCCAACACGCCCACCCTGACACATGTGCCCAGCTAATCAGAGATTATAAATTAACAAATGAAGATAAAACCTTTGGATTTGCTTATACTGCTGGAAGAGAGTGCACTATAGGGGAGGAACCCTGCAGTGCCCGGTCACCGAAGCTACCTGAATGAATAACTCAATGACTGTTTACTGACCTGAGTAATCATTTAGTCACTATGATTTCAATTGTACGGACACCATGTTTTCTCTGGCAAAGAAATTCTCTGCTTTGACAGCTGGTCTGTAACCCGGTTCCTCCTCAAGCTGGAAGGTTAGTACCTGAAGTCCAGTTTGTGCAAGTTTTTGGAAATTTCTGGACAATACTCATGTGTTAGCTGTGAAAGTTTGGGGACCCATTATAAGGCTTCATATTTAATTTATTTTAGCGTAGGAGTTCCATCACATATTCCCTCTAAAATTAGAAGTTTCCCCTAAGCCAACTGTTCAAAATTAAACATATTTCATAAAAAAAAATCATTCACACTGTGATATGCTTTACTGAATGAATTTACAGAGCATTTTCCCCATTTCTCTTTAATTCAACTCGTTTCACATAAATCAAGCAAGGACCTCTCTACTATGACATTTAAAAAAATGAGAATATGCCTTCTGCAGCCCACTTTGGAGTAATGGTTATGTATATCACAGTCCATTTTTCTCTTACCATCAGGGAATCCATCCCAGATTTCCAATCGGTCATAGCGACAGAACGCTCCCCCTGGAGTATTTGAATCAGGTTCTAGCTCAAAGCTTTCAAATTCCAGTATAATCTCTGACATCTTTGGTGCAAAGATAATATAAGTGCATTCAAGGCTATTGGGATATTTTTCAGGGAATCCAGGGGACTTTATCACTCCACTTGACGAAGTGAAGTTTCTGGAACATTCAGGTCCTGTAAGAGAAAGAGAAAAATCACCTGGGTTAACACTATGCTACTAAGCAAAGTAGTTAGCTGGAAAACAAATTAGGTTGTATTGTCTCTCCAGCAGCAAAGGTGGCTTTTCAATGAAACACCTCATTTTAATCGCTGTATTAATCATTCAGCCAGCTTGTTCCTATTATTGATAGTCAGGTTTTAAAGCGCAATTCGCATATACTGTCTGATCTCAAATTTTCAATTTGTATGGAACAATATGAAAACTTGTACCAGCTCTAGAAAAAATTATGACAAATACAAAGTCATGTGGGAACAATGAAAGTGTAAGCTGCAGAAATCTCGACAGGGCCCTAGAGAAATAATTATAGCCCCTTCAAGCTCAAATCTTTAAATCTTACGGCTGACAGGCTTTTATTGGTGAAATAGAATTTTTTACGAAAGCGGGTGAGTGAATTCAGTAGAGGGAGTAGTGGTTTCAGATTCCTGGAGCACTGACGCAGTAACTCTGCCAGATGTGACCTATGCCTCCTTGACAAACTAAATGTGAAAGGTAATTCGTACATGTACCAAGGGTGAGTGACTCATTCTGAGTGGTGTTGACACAGGTGCACCAGTAAAATGTTGCTGTTAGTGCAGGCATGATAAACTGTGTGATTACAGGCAGTGTTGCTAGAAGTCACCTAATGTCAATGTTGACACACCAGCTTTCCCCAATGTCCCCACCATGGCATAATGGGATGCTCCAAACACTGCTCTTGGTTGAGCAGGGAAGTGGCAGTAAAGATGCAAAGATATAAAAGGCCAGATCACTGGATTTGCCTTTGTGAATACAGGGGACTAAAACTGGAGTCCCTCTCTTGTTGACAGATAGCATTTCTCCTTTATTTAGGTCCCTCAGGAACCCCCTCTGTGGATCCCACATCTGCAGGTGTGCTCAGAGCCAGCCGCAGGCACTGCCCACACATCCTCCCACAAGGTCAGCATAGGTACCCCTCTCTCTCTGACTTTTGACACTCCCAATTTAATGGAAAGTGATTTACAGGATTTCAGCATTGGTGGATAGCAGCTGACCTGGGAAGTTTGGGTAGGATGACTCAGATGAAGCTCTTCAGACATGGAGTATAGGCAGGACACAGGCGACAGAGTTTGGTTGCAACAGGTTGTGCTGGAGGATGAGTGTGTGTGATGTTTCAATTTGGATGAGGATGCCCAGCATCCTTAGAGACTGTAGTCAGGAGCCTTAGAGGATTTCCAATGCTTAACACAGATCATTGAAGGAAAACAGTCTGGCTTGTTGCATATATGAATACTCTTATTTCACCATAGAAAATGTTTTCCTTGCGAATGTGCCAAACATATTACCCCCCACAGATTTGGCCACCTCCCAGCTAAATTCAGCATGCAAAAGAGAGTTCTGAATGAATTTAGTCTGTTCAGGTATTTTTGTCCTTCAACAGACACTGCTAGGAAATGCTTGAGCTATCACATCAATATTCAGAGCACTTCATGGCGTATTTTGGAAGATGTAGATATTAATGCTCATGTAACCTGACCCATTCCAATTTGGGAAATTACATTTTGCCTATAATGAAATCGCCCCCTTACACATTAGTTGGATATTTCTCTTCTCTCCCTGTCATTCCCTTGTCTCCGTGTCATGTATGGGAGGGCTATATTCTGGTTGTTGCTCCTCACTCCCACCAGTAGCTGCTGTTCCGGGATAAAATAGCTTTGCTATGCCATTCATAGCATCAAGTGCTCTGTGCTCCTCTTGGAATCCAATAAAAGATGCAATATAAAATGTAAGCCAGAATCATTATTGCTTTATTAAATACACCCAGATCCTGGCTCTGTGAGTGCACAATTGTCAGGCTCCTTACACTCACACATGGTATCTCAATACCAGCTTGCTTTATTTTAAACATGTTCAAGTCAATCTGGTGCAAGAAACAAAAACTGTTTTCAGAAGAGCTGCCTCACTAAAATGCCCTCCACAGATTTTGACCCTTTACTGACACTGTGAAGGAACTCCAGGAATTAAATCAACACTGAAGCTACGAAGAACTCCATGGGGCGATGTTCATGGAAAACTGGCAGAAGAGGCTCTAGCAGAGCCTGGACAAAATAGATACTTCTGAGGTCAAAAAATTACATGTGTGCATGTGTATGAAATAAAGGAAGAGAGATGAGCTGAAGGAAAGAGAGAGAGGAGCCAAAAGAGAGAGCAAAGAAAGAGAAGACACTGGAGATAATTTCACTTGCTTTCTGTAGGTGTCGCTGAGCCAGAAAAAAATTTGCCTTCCTGGTTGACACTGTCTTTTCTTTCAGTTTACACCGTAAATTTAGTTGAGTAAAGTTAGGAATGTTGAATGTGAACCATGTAGATCCTCTTCTAGTGAATAGGCTACTCATTCATCCTAAGATAGGCTGGCTGACGGAGCCAAAAAGATGAACATTTCAAATGGGCTAAATGTTGGGCAATATGGGTTTCATGTTTTAGTCTGGAATTCAACTTTTTCAGTGTCTTTCTGGCTAAGGACCTGGATGAGAATTAAAAGCAGCTCCTACTCTCAAAGCCCATACTACATTTATCACAGTCATTATGTGTGCTGGTCTCTCCTTACAATTTCCATGGGGTGTGGCATTTTAAGCATCAAGTTTAGAATTCAGCTTAGGAAGGTAGCATAATGCAGTTTTTCTTTTTGAAAACTAAGGGTGGTCTGACAGGAATAATGGGCAAAAATATACTGTGTGCTGTAATGCAGCTCAGCCTTCAGCTCAGCACCACAGGACCTTGGGCTTGGGATCATTTTAATACTTCTCATACCTGGGAAATGATGAGCTAAGTTGTGAATATGCTAAAATGAAGCGTATTATTCTGGTGTGAGCAACTGAGCTTCACCTGCGTAACAGGGTAAACTGGTCAGCTTTACTTGGAACAGAAATTAAAATGTACATTTGGAATAGCATATATGCATTAATTCAAAAGTTAAAAAGAGCTGTGTTCCCACAGCAACTATAACTTGTATCCTTTGTGTACACGCAGCATTTCTAACACTGTACCTGGTGATAACTTTCTTGCCTTAATATACAGTTTATGTGGAATGAACTAGAGTTAAAGTTGCTCTGGGAGCCATAATTTTGAGTTTCCTGACTTCTGTGCGTGTAAAATCACATTCATAATGCCATCTTAACATGGTTGATGTGTATCACTGAGAGATGTAAATGACCACACCAGGAAATAAACACAACATTCCTGTCAGAGCTCTGAGTTGCCACTACACTATTAGGAAATAAAGAAAAGCTTTTTTTTTTAAAACGCTCAGTTGCTAAAATAAATTGTTTCACAGGTCATTCTTTCACTTCTTGTGTTTCAGCCTTGTTCTTCATGAAAGATGGTACTGTATATATAAGCACTGAGAAACTTCATGACACGGTTTCAGGAGTTTAGCCTCCTGAAGACATGAAAATAAATAGAGATTTCTTTTTTTCAGGAAAGCTTGGTGTCATTTGGATGCTGAGTTCTTTCAAAAAATGTGACCCTGAAGGTCACCAAAAGAATTTCTGGGAGCCAAGAGTGGATTTACAGACAGGGAAGATGGCGAACAAGAGGTCTGTGGCCCCAATTAACACTGTGCAGAGCAGCAATAGCATGCAATAGAAAAGAGACTTCACTACTGTGCTTCTCATCATTAACAGTACAGCTGCCACCAAGCGCCTGTGCTGAACACAGCTGAAAATCTGGCTCTGGTTTAGGTGCATAAAAGGGACTTGAACTGGTTCTGAAGATGGGGCACTTTCTGGGAGTGGTGTGTATTGGAAATTTGGAGTTTTGAGCTGCTTTTGTGAATATGACCCTAAACATTGATGTTGAAGTCAATACCTTTTTCTATAAAGTTAAGCTTATTGTCTTTATTATGAGTTTTGGTCCTCTATTCTCCAGGCATGGAATATATGGATTATTTATCTCCATCCAGCTATAGGGAAGGTCTATGCCATAAAAAAAGATCTTACTCCCCTTCTAGCTGTTGACTCAGAAAGAGAGTTATCAAAGAGGGACTGTCTATAGGTCTGGTTAATCCCGGACTGTTTGTTTCTCTGGGCTTTCTCTGTACCCCATACAGCTATCTGTGCTCACTGGCACTGAACTCCTGGCACAAACATCCAGCAAGACATGCCTGTGAACAGTGTGAGCTTCTCCTCTCCTTTACCTCCCAAACATGATTTGCAAAAACAACAGCAACATCATCTGCTGCCCATGTGTACTCTGATCCTTTCTGAACCCACAGCCATATCCTGGGAATGCAGAGCAAAACACTAACCAAAATGAGTCAGGGACTCAGAAGGTTACAGTGCTGTTAAGGCAGTAACATTGTAAATCATACAGCAATTATTACCACAAAAAAAAAACCAAAAAAAAAGGAAAGAAAAAGGAAGAAAGCTAATGGTTTTAAGAAGGTTGAAAGAAACAGCTGATGAAGACTATCACATTACACCCAGAGGAGTCAATCCTCAGATACAGTTGACCCATTGGATTCACAATGATTTACACCCATTGAATACATGCCCCACCTTGGAATGACAAGGGTAATACAATTTTGTCTTTCAAGCATTTTCATGTATTCCCCACATCCCAAAGAACTATGGCGAACTTTTTGATGAAAGTAAAAAACACAGGTTATGAGCTATATAACAATGAATTGTTTCTCACCTCTCTTGAAAACTTCATAACGTATAGAAAATCCTGCTCCGTGTGTCTCATAGTCGGAAACAAATTTAATAAAAAGATATGGTCCCGAAGACACTAAAGGAGGGGGAGCAATTTTTCCACAGTACTTTCCCCATAAGCGTCCTTCAGCATTATCTCCATCAATCACTTCAACATAATCATACCTGGTAGATAAATGGAAGGAAGAAACTTTTAACTTCCAGGAAAGAAGGAGACCTAATTAATTTAGAAACCATAACACAACATAGATAATCAAGAAAAATGCTAGCTTGCTTGGAAAATGCATTATGCTGAAAGATGTAAGCAAAATGAAATAATTAAAATGGACTACATTATGTCTGTAGACATCATCTGGCAACACGGAACTATTAGGAAGAATGGTGTCCATTATGCTTGCAGACAATGTCAGCTAAAGTAACCAATTAACAAAAAAAAAAGGAAATCTCATGAGCACAATTCTGTATTATTAAATTGTGTTCTTTTGTCTGTGTAGTGTTGTTATCAATACATAATGCATAGCATTCTTTTCAAACTGTGAAGTTCTGTTATGAATTCAAAAATGTCTTTTTGGCTGGAGCTCTTTATGAACAATACTTTGATTTCCATATGCTGTCCTCCAAACATATGTCCACAGAATAATAAATAAATCCCTAAACATTAGATTTTGTTCAGATCAGTGGTAGAGAAATCTGTTATTTGCCTTGTTAGCTGGACAAATAGTTTGGAGCAATTCACAAAATCCACGTCAGTCATGACACTTGGTTTTTCTCCAACAAAACTTGTTTCACTATAAATCATCTTTGCTTAGGTATTTGAAGCAAGAAGTGCACGTTATAATATTCATGCTTGTACAGCATGTGATTACTGAACAGTCTGGGCTAAATCCGTCCCTGGTTACTTGCTTGATTCTTAAGGACTTGATAAGACGAGTTAGATAATACGCAGTAATGATTGGTGGTAAAAGTTTGCCTGGGAGCAACAGTCGTGTCAGGGTTCCTCAGCCCTGTCACCAGAGATGCCAATACGTAGGGCTTGGTCTGGCGGATTTGGTTTCAGGGGGCTGAGGAGAGCCCAGCAGCTTGGTGCACTGAGCCAGCTGAGAGAATACAAATGAGAATGGGAGTCTCAGAGAGGCAGAAACTGCAGGTGCGGAGACAGGTCTGGTTTTAAGTTTTATTAGCAGATGATTTCACTCAACCCTGGACGGGAAGGAGGAGCAGACACAATTTGTGGAATCAGCTTAATCTTTTCCTAAAAGGTGGTGGCACTTGGAGCCCGGGTTGTGCTCTGGGCCTCTTTCGGACTGCAGCGAAAGGCTTTTCTCTGCCCCTGCGCCTTTGTGTCTCAGCTGTGCTGCCGTTTTATTTAACAAGTTGCTGTTAGCCAGACAATCTCATTTACTTTTCATTATCCTACTGTGAGTGACATTAAAATGTTGCCATTAATTTGTTTAGACCTTTATTCTACTGTTATGTTCACTGAAATGTTCCCAGCATATTAATATACAAGGAAGAGCTAAAAATGACAGGACAATAAAGTGTGTCTGACATTTTTAAAGAGATCAAAGGAAAAAAATGTCTTCATGATGACCAATGTCATTTTTAACAACGCTGCTCCAAACTGTCCAGGGCACATTACTTATGTTTACATGAAGCCCCACGAGACAACTGCAAAGATGATATCACTAGTTAAAGTGGACGGCCTAAGGCTCCTTAAATTGAAAATGACATTATCTCATCAGTTAAAATTGTGTGCCAGCTTTGGTGTATATCAAGTAGAAAATAAAGCTGACACTGATGGAACTGTAAGCATTAACATATGTGAAATATTGTGTTAACTGCATTTCCTCTTATGTATTTGATTTTTCTAGTAGCAATTGCTCTGCTAGTTAGCTTCGCTGTCCCATTTCAGATTGGTGGAAATACAAAGCGGAAATGTTCATTTCTGAGATAATTTTACAAATACTTTAAGTAGCCTGCATTTTTTTAAAATTAGACTTCTGTTCTTTCTGTCATTTCTATATGATATATGTATAACAGGATTTGGAAGTTGGGAGGAGAGTTGTAAAAAGACTTCAGAATTGTTTTTCTTTGCGGTTTTTTTCCCCTTTAGAAATATCCTTAAGAATACCAGCTTTAGGTTCCCTGCAAAACCTATTGGAAGTACTCAGGAATGCAGGCTGCTAGTTTTTATACTTTAGGGAAAAAATGAATGTTGAGAATTTTTAACAAGACAACCTTTCTCTGAATAATTAACTGCTCGTTAAAGAGCAAGAGGAACCACACAAAACCACAGCATCTGTGTGACAGTCTTTGCTCTTCTCTCCATGATGACATTATTTCACCAGTTTCCCAGACACCATTCATTGCTCAAGACTCAACAGTAGATAATTTTTCAAATGAATATCAATATTTCTGAATTAGTAAATGATATGAACAATTTTAACTAAAAATGCTAAGCAAATTTTTACATGCTTTTTTACTTCATGTATAAAGAAGAAAAAAAAACCCAAAAGGTTTGAGTTCAGTATCTTTATTCTGCTACACCTTAAAAATAAAATCTTCTATAGTCTTGCTAAGTCTTTTGTATACAGCCAAGAAAATAATGAACCTGTAAGTACCAATTTTGCTATTATAAGAAGTAAATTTGGCAAAAAAGAAAATCAAATTAAATACTCCTAGGTTTCTTCCTTTATAGCAATAGCCGGCCCACACCTTTCCATTGTCCCTTACAGTGACAGAATTGTAATTTATGGTGCTCTTTCTGGCTGCTGTACAATTGTAAATGACACATTTTGGTTACTAAAAGGCTGTCTTCTAATGGACTTTGCAAGTTATAGGTCATGCAGCCCTGTGGAGGACTGGAGGATTTTTCATTTTTTTTCTTTCACTTTGAAAAATTACTAACAGACAGAAAAGAAGTTTCGCTGTAAGACAATAGGTATGAAGTGCGATTTGAAAAGGGGAAACTTTAAAGATCAGCCCTACAACCTTCATATTCTAAGGATCATGTCTTTCACTTGGCAGCTAACAAATGGATTTGGATTCTCCACACTGGCAGCAACATCTGATATCTGGGCTGCTCTAAGTGAGTATCTATGTCTTTTTTTTTTCTTAGGGAAATGAAATTACTCTGGATTTTACTAGTTTATACTTGGAAACCAATGTCCTGCTGTCATTTTTGCACTTTTCAAAATCCTACCAGAGACCATAGTGTATCACAAACAACTGTTCTTGTAAATAGGAGAAAGTACAGTCACAACTTGAAAATGGAGTTGCTGCCAAGGAAGCTCAGAAAGCAGCTTGCATCTCCCTCTGGACTTGGTAGCAGTTCATCTCCATAAGTTTGTCAGGAGAAGATGCTGTGCCAGGGATGCAGTTGGCACATTGGCATCCCTGTGAGGAGACTGAATTTGTCACCTCTGCAGCGCCCAGACAGTCTTGGCATGCAGCCCAGAATACTGAGTTTGCAAATTTGGATTTCCCACTTGGCAATTCTTCGCTCAGTTACTGCTGCCAATGGTGTGGCAAATATTTCTTGTAATGTTATAGTCCTTTAGGGTTTATGGCACAGAGATGTAAATATAAACATGGCGCTAACCATTGAGTATAGTTTCAGGTGAAAGACAAGAGCACGAGTTCATGTGCGAAAACAGGAGATGCCTGCCCAGAAGAGGGGGTAATCAGCAGATATGTTAATGGAACCACTATGCCATGATGCAAAAAGCATTCCCTTTTTGCTTGTCTGGGTCTTTCTGGATATCCTGGTTTTGCTTGCTTTCTGTGGTGTGCAAGGACTGTGCATGGCTCTCAGGTGGGAGCCTGCTAAAATGCACTGCAGAGCTTGCATGCTGACCTTGCTCCTCCCAGCTGGTACCCGAACATGCCATTACTAGACGGTCCTAATTTTATGGAAACAATGTCTGGGACAGATTCCCATTGGAAAGATGAGGGAATCTAGAATTCCTCCACAAATTCTTGAAGGAATTGCAAAAAACTTGCTCTTTTTTTGGAAAGTGTAAGTTATAGGTTCAAGGAAAAGGCCAAGCAATACCTATAAAATGAGCACTGGGCAATGAAAAACATAAACAGCTGCAGAATACAGATTTTGGTGAATTTTCTATTTCCAGTTTCTACTAGGTGATAACAGTGCTTACGTCTGGTTTCAGTACTGAACATGCTGTCGACCCCTGAAGTGCACTGCAGCACCTTGTACTGCAGAAAGTGAAGTGGAAGTGCTGGAAAGCCCTGCCTGCTGCTGAAGCCAGACACTCTGCCAAGCTACGCTCCGCTTCTACACATTTTCCTGTTATTAGGGCAGTGAGATCTTATGCCTTTTGCCTAAAAAAAATTCTTCCCAAGACATATGCAGAACTCAGCTTAAATCTAAGTATTTGCCATTTTACCTTATAAAACAATCGGTGAAGCCTATACAACTATAATTTACATCTGAATATGCCATATTTTTCTGCAGCCTACTATGATAGGCATCTATAGGGTGGTTATGAGTATTTTGGTTATTCACCTGTTAGAATGAAAAGATTTGCCACATCTCTGTTTCTTTTATCTCTCTGATTCCACTTCCACCAGGCTGCTAAATCTCTCCCTGACATGAATTATCCACCCTGGTCAGACTATCTTTAGTTCTGAGAATTTGCTTCTTAGTATGTATCTTTCTTTTGCCTTTATTTTATAAGAAATTTTTTTTTTAATTGCTCACAAGGCGCCATTTTAGCTGAACAGAAGGCACTGCGAGAGAAAATCTAAATAAAGAGCTTCAAGTTGTTCTGCACCACGGATTTGTGCCCCATTAGTGACTGAGGGTTAGCGGTGTGGGATTTACTGCAGTGCTTGTGGCACAAGGCAGTCTGTATCCCAGAGCTAGAAGCTTAAGAACTGCAGGCACTCGAGGGACACCAACCTTAATCCCAGTTTATTAGCAACCTGAAAAAGAAGTACATGCTGTTAAAAATAAAAAATTAAGCACAGCCCCAAACAGGCTGTTTTTCTGCCTGTAGCCCCAGCATCTGTTTGGTTGCTCTCCGTCCAAGCTTTCGTGCAGCCTGACTGCTCTTTGGGGGCCTCCTGTGCCGCACCCTGGCAAGGTGACCTGCCTAATGGGTGTTGGTTCTCCGAGTGCGGACACGCATACAGCGGAATGAGCA